TTCAACCAAAACAAGAGAAAAGTTCTCTAAACTCAACCCACAGCTACGAGGGAGGAAGGAAAAATTCTCCAAAAGCTCCAGTTTTCTCCTGAGGTTCTTTTCAAACTCTCTATTAAAAGGTATGAACACATTTATTTAATTAGATTAAGTTTGTGTATTCAAATATATGCATGATTCGACAAGTATAGTCATCCCTAGTAAATGCATTTTAAGGTTTTTAATGAAAACAAAAACTTGATTTAAGTTTAATATGACCCAAAAGAAAAATCAAGAAAAATCTTGAATTCCACTACCCCTATCATGTGGCATTATTTACTTACAATACCGATCTTATAGAAAATGTTCATAACTAGGGAGGTAGTTCACTATCTTATCAATGCTTAGTTACTTCCAAAGTAGATCTTGAAACTAATGACCATCCTACAAGGAAATTAGGAAGGGTTTTTAGTGTTTAGTCCTTCCATCTTGAGTGCGGATCCCTTACTCATGAGTAGTTTCCTCGGGAACAAGTTTTGAAAAGCAATGCCACTGTCTAATTGCTTTTTTTCATGACTGGCAGCTTGGAGAAGGATTTTTACAATTTAAAATCTTAGGAAGAGAAGGAAGGTTATTGTTATTAGGTGCTAGATGTTAAATGAACTGAGACCCCTACTCACTTGTTTTGTGCTCTCTCCTATTTCTCATTTTTAAGAATAAACATGAGAGGCTAAGATATCCTTTTTAAAAAAAATAAGAGAGGCTAAGATATCTTATTGAAGCCTTTGTTAGAAAAAACCAAAATAAAAAAAAAATGAAAAGGACCAAAATGAAACACATGGATGATCACTAGCTAATTTCCTTCCAATCCCTATGAAGGAAAATAAGAGAAATATTTGAGAATGTTCCATGTGCCCGTGCCCATAGGGAGACCAAAAAGGTCGTCTTTGCCCATAGGATAGCATCCTGGAAGTATCAATTACCAAACACCCGATGATTTTTTTCTAACCAAATTGTCCATAACCCTGTGAACAATGCACCTTGTCAGAATGGCTTTGCTTTCTTGCATACTCCCACCCCACCAACACTGGAATTCATAAAGCATTTCAAAGGAGGGAGATATTGTCCAAGATATGCTATATATGTCAAACAACCTTGGCCATAGTTTTCAAGCCATCTCACATGAAAGAATAAATGGTTATGTGTTTCCTTTCCTCTTAGACACATCACATAGATATCTAGAAATAGAGCTCGATTAGACGTAATTTGCAACAGCTCATTGTTGTTTAACCGATTTAGAATTATTGTCCACATAAGCACCTTCATCTTACAAGGAACCTGAAATTGTCATAATGTCGCTGGTAAAACAGCTATGGTAACAATCAGGGTCTGATAATATGGTCAAAAAAGGATTTACAAGTGTATGTATATGAAGATTCTAATATCCATACCGCACAATCTGGCTGTTGGGACAGCTAGAAAGATTCTAATAATCTCAAAGGACTGAGGAGCTCATCGATTTCTCTATCATTCAGGCTGAAAAATGGAAATTCTAGGTGGTAATACCTTTAATGAGGCATATAAAGTAATTAATTAGTGCCTGATGGCACAAGGAAATATGAAATAGGTGATGCAATTGTGTAGTCAAGGGCAGTGACCCATCCAATGTTTCTCCCATAATAAAACTTTGTAACCATCTCCCACTTTACCTTACCCAGGAATAGGTATAACAAACTAGAGATAGCTCTCATGAGCTTTGGTGCTAGATGGAGCTCATGGCCACCATATCCCATCCACTCCACTGACTCCTATTGGTACTTTTTAATCACTCTGTGTCACAAGGAGTTTGGTTCACATGGAAAACGCCATAAACACTTAAACAATAATGACAAATTCTTCCCAATACCCAAATCTCCAAAAGGTTTAGATTTACAACATACCTCCCAACTCAGAAAATAACTGCCCCCCTCTTCTCCAGCTTGCCCACAGGAATTTCCTCATCATCTCAGCGATCTTTATTGATATTTTAAACAATGACAGGTAGTATAATGGAATATTAGATAAACAATCCTGGATTAGCGTTACAACCCTCTCACTTGGCCCAGCTAATGTTGCCACAGTCGATTGCCACAATTGGGATGCTCACAGTACCATCCACCACATTTATTATTACCAATCTACTTTTAGTCATATTAATCAGAAGCCTTAAATTATGCTCAAACACCTTCACCAACATGAGCTTAGTAACAATCAATTTATTATCATCTAACAGGAATAAGACTGTTGTAATCCACGATTGGAGGTATGACATCTCCACTCTTTCATTTTCAAACATAAAACCTTCTATTACCTATCTTTTCTAACCTCTAGCCAACAGTTAGCTCGGAACATCTACTACTAAGGACAAAGAATCATAGAGAGAAGATCTCCTTATCTTATACCCTAAGTGGCCCGAAACCACTCTTGGGTTTTCCATTCACTAGGGTTGCAAAGGACACAGATGACAAACAAAACTGTATCCATATTCTCCACCTATTTCCAAACCCTTTCGAGACCATTACCAACTTCAAAGACCCCATTTCAACCTATCATAGAGCTTCTCAAAATCTAATTTTACAACCGACCTTTCCTTTTTCACTCTATGCAGATGTTCCACCGCTTCATTAGCTACGAGGGACACACCCAAAATTTTCTCTCCTCCCCACATGCACTCTGGTTTGCTTAGATTGTATCATCCAAAACGTCGTAAATCATAAGGATAATGCCTTAGTTATGACCTCGGATATGAGATAAATAAAGATTGAGTTCATACTTCCATAAATTCTCCCATTCAAATAGAACTCTTCAAACCCTTCAATCAAATCATCTTTTGTAAGGTCCACACATGATTGGAAAAATGCACCCATAGACCTATCCAAGCCAGGAGCTTTTTTTTGTACTCATTATCCAAATAGCTTCACTAATTCTTTCATCACTGAATGGATTCTCTAATTGTCCTGCTTGGGCTACAACAACAGGCACCAATTGATGCCTTCTAGAAACGGCCAAGATACTTCATGTTTTGTATATGGATTCCGATAAAAGCTAGTGATTTCTCGCCCGATTACTACTTTATCTCGTTGTACACCACTCCCTTCTAGTCTAACTCCTTGATCTCACTCCTCCATCTTCACCAATTTACTACCCTGTGGTACAACCTAGTGTTAGTGTCTCATTCTTTAACCACTTTACCTAATTTTTTGCCTCCAACTTTGCTCCTCTTTGAATATTACCTCCTCAAGCTCATTTCAGAGCTTGGAAAAACGTCTCATTTGGCTTTAAATACGTTACTCTCTGATATCATTTTGTCCAATCCCTTTATTTCCTCCAGGATTTCTTTCTTCCGCAATCCTATATCTCCAAACACCTCCTTATTCCAATTCCTAAGTTTATCCTTCAGAAATTTCAACCTTTGGATTTGAATTTCTTAATCTTTAGTGGATTATAGGGCGTATGGTGGCAACTGAATTGAGGGTGTGGCAAGTTATGAAGGCTAATAGATGCCAGAAGAAGTTGATATCCCTTATTCTATTGTCTACCCTTTGGGATATATGGAAAGAGGAACACTTTTAAGGATCTTTCTGCCTCTTTTCATAAAAGCATAGATTGCTACTTTCAGACTCCGATGCTCTTTTTAGGAAACCTGGAGATCTCATTGATATTTTTGACTAACTTGTAATCTATCTTTTCCTAAATGAGAAATAGCCCCCCGTGCCTTGTTGATATAATTTTCTTTAAAAGGAAAAAAGGAAATTGTAGACAATCATCCAAGCACATCTCACACACTTCTGTTGACATCGATCAAGATAAGGTTCAGAAGGTTCTTACTTTATCCACGTTAAGAAGAAACAACCTTAATAAAAAAGCAGTAAAAAAACCTTGGTTAAAAACCTAGATGACGATCAAATATAGATGAATGCACACTATGAAAAGTTCATAACGTCATTTCAATATTTCAAAAAATTAAAAATGTTTCTTTGCATTCACACCATATCATAGAACATCTAAATAGAAAAAGGAGCAGTACACTTCTGCTCCAAAAGCCAGCACAATAAACAACAAAATACAAGCAAAGAAAAAAAATCACCTTCTTTATCCCATATCTGCAATGGTTTGCTCCTACAAAAATCCAAAAAATATATCTATATATAAATAAAAAGGACGCATACAAACTTGATAATCAACTGAAAATATCCCAAAAAATAAATAAAAAGAGAAAAAATAAAAGGAAAAGTACCCAAGACTGTATAAAATGGACAGGAACCCAGACTGAAAAGTGTTCTTGAACATATTCAGCAGTGATAAACCTGGGGTGAAAATCCTCAATAAGTCGTCTCATAAACAAAAGCAAAGCAAAGCAACTCATTGTATCACTCACGTTTATATGTTTTACCGATAGAACTCCAATTAATTAATTTAACCAGATGCCTATCTTGTCTCTTTCACTGATGCTTGCGAATTTGGATGTAGTATTTACCCTGGTTAGAGACATTAGAATAGATTATAGGATTGCAACATGTAAATTTTACGAAATCATTGAGAATAGCTCCAAGAGAAAGATTTTAGAGAGGAAAAAATTCTGTAGATTTTCTAAATTTTCTGACAACTTCATCCGATCCCGAAATTTTACACGCATAGTTCCTGCTTCGCGTTTGAAGTAAATTTATCAGGTGAAATAAAGTAAAAAGGAAATATAATTCAAATAAGACCAAAAAGGAAAAAAAGAAAAAAGCGTCTTATGAGAACCCTAGGCGATGTTTCTACCCAGAAACAGCTCTCATAATTCAACTCGATCAGATGTTTCTAACCAAAACCAGGAAGAAGAAACAAATAGAAATCGTAAATGACTTTCAGTCCATATCCCCATACCAGTTTGTTTATCTTGAAACGAATTTGAGCTTTGTCGATGAGACTTTTGTTTCACAGTTTCCTATCTTTCCTGGCCCGAAAACTGTTCTAGTCTTCACAAGTTTAAGAACCTGGCGTTTCCACTCCAACACGATCCATTTAGGAAAAATTTTTACGCAGGAGGCAGTTTCTTCAAAAAAAAAAAAAAAAAAAAAAAAAATTTATCGTATTTGCCACCACCCCTATAATATAATTTATTATTATATTTAAAAAATAGTATAAATATTATTTTATATAAATAGAAATTAAATAAAAATAAAAATAATTATTTTATTATCATATTTTATCTTAATTTTTAGTAAAAAAATTATACAATAAATAACATAAACGAAATATTATAGTTTATACAGTTTATAATTCAGAGTTTGTATTCGATTAAAATTTCACTACATAATATACTATCGGTATTAATTTTATTTTTTATATTTAAAATTTATTAA